GCCCCAACTCCTCAATCGGCCCTGCTCTAAGCCCGACCAGGGGCTGCACCTAGGGATTGGGCCTGCCCTCTGCCACCCGGGAGCAGGCCTAAGCCAGCAGGTCGTTATCTCCCGAGGGGTCCCAGACTGCAAGAGGGCACAGGCCGGGCTGAGGGACCCCCCCTTCCCCTCCCCCCAAGTGTACAAATTTTTGTGCACCTGGCCTCTAGTAGTTAGATAAGCATCATAGTATACTTATTTTATAACGAAAACAACTTGAAGCCTAAATGTTAAAGGGATTTCCCCCAAAATTACAAAACTAGAGTGGTGAAATCAGGTATTGAATTTATGTCTTTGACTAGAAATTAGTCCAATGCTTTTAAAAAAAAAAAATTACACTAAATGTAGTACTTCAATGATCTGCTTACAGTATTTCAAAAAAAATGAATGTAGTAAGATTCTAAAATGACAGTTTTTACAGTAAAGTAACTACCTTGAGGGGGCAGAACCTGTATGTAGCACTGTCTTCCCAGTTGTGTCCATTCTTTGAATCACAAGATGATCTAAAACCATCTTCTTTTTGGCCCTTTCAAGAATATCCTCTTCCACTGATCCCTTCGTAACTAGACGATAAATATTCACCTGTGAAGATATGCATGATGACACAAACTGAAATTAAATGGATTTGTTTTGCAAATCTGAAGTACCCAAATGTTGGAATATAGACTGAAGCTCATCCCACATGAAGTTTTCACTGATTCAAAGCAAACTGGAAAAAAAAATAAATAGGGGATAAAGAATACCTGTTTCTTTTGCCCAATACGATGAGCTCTAGCCTGCGCCTGAAGATCATTTTGTGGATTCCAATCAGAATCAAATATAACCACAGTGTCAGCTGAGGCTAAATTAATTCCTAGACCTCCAGCTCTTGTGGAAAGCAAAAAGCAGAAATCCTGTAAGGAATTATAAATAGGGACAATTTTAAATTCTTCCAAATTATAATTCAAAATAATCAATATGAGAGTTTTATTATTCACTTTTTGAATTTAAAAAATATCTTACCAATAAAACGGAAAGGTAGTTTTTAATAATAGTAACAAAATATATGCACCTCTACAAAAGCAAATAAGATTTCAAAATATAGCTATATATGGGAAAAATAAACATCAAATTTAAATAAATTTTTCAATGAAAGTGGGCTAATTTACTTTAAAGCAAACTGCCTTATGCTGCAATAGTATTAAGAAAGATTAACGTTCTATAACATACCATATTAATTTAAAAACCTGACATGCAAATTGAATTGGTTCCCACCAATAAGATGTTTTGTAAAAACTACAAGTATGACAAAAATAATGAATGAAACAATTTACAATTTTAAAAGCATCCATACCTCTGATCCTTCAGCATTAAAATGATCTAGAGCTTGTTTCCTCAACTCCCCTTTTATTGATCCATCTAATCTCTAGAATAAAACACATTAAAATACCACATATAAAAGAATTTAAAATCTTTAAAGGCATTAAAATAAATTATAAAGTAATATATAAAAATTCAGCATTGTTTTTGCTAAAACTGTAAGGGCAGAAAGTACTTTTAGGCAGTAAAACAATGACGAGGCATTATTTCTCTGGAGTCTGTGCTCTTAATCACTAGGACTGCTTCCCCAAATAGTAAATAACATAGGTTGTCATTCTGCCCTAGACCCTCTGTAAGTAATACATTTTAGAAATGCAAATTATTGAGCTCTGTCCCAGACTGATGAAGCTCTGAGTGAGTTCCAGAAAAAGCCCTCTAGTTAATGTTTAAGAATCACGGATTTGGGGCTCTAGTCAAATAGCCCACATTTGAGTATTAATGAGTGGCTTGGACAAGTGATTTGGCTTTTCTTCTTGTCAGTTTCATCCTTAGTAACATAAGAGTACTACTTACTTAATAGAAAACAGAGGATTCAGTGAGAGAATGCAGTAAAACACTTAGCACAGTGCCTGACATACTAAGTGCTTACTAAACATTAGCTAACCAATAGATGTCCAAAATAAATATAAAATTTTAAAGTGTTTCTTTTTTCACTAAAAATTACAATTAGAAAAAACTTTTGCCCTGGCTGGTTTTGTTCAGTGGATAGAGCATCAGCCTGCAGACTGAAGGGTCCTGGGTTCAATTCCGGTCAAGGGCACATGCCCAAATTGCCCACTCAATTCCCAGTAGGGGGCATGCAGGAGGCAGCCAATCAATGATATTTTCTCTTATTGTTGATGTTTCTATCTCTCTCTCCCTCTCCATTCCCCTCTGATATAAATACAAGTAAAAAATAAATTAATTAAAAATAAAAAACTTTTAAAAAAATAGTGGGATATCATTTTTTTGAGGCATGACCTAAACCAAAATAAAGTTAAAAAATGATTCTGGGTAGTGATCTGGAAAGGAGAAGTAATTAGGGGCAGAGAACAATTGCTTACAAGTACTTTTGTACCCCCCCCCCCTTCCCCCTCACCCCCACAAAAAACACACACACACTCTCTCTCTCTCTCTCTCTCTCTCTCT